TCTCAACCAAAGCCTTTGGTTCAAATACCTGACCGCAAGGCAGCGGGTTTGGCGTTGTGCTACAAGGAGTCCGTTTTAAGGAATAAGGTGCCACCCTCATTCCAAACCCCAACCTGGAGGACCAAGAGGCTGAGTTTGTCTGGCCTCTAACCATTGACCAATCTGGTATGAGTGACTCTGAAGGTGCAAAAGCACCACCCAGCATAGTTCAATGGATCGCTGAGGTACACAAACCATCGCACCACGGTAAGGTCCAGCCTCATTGCGATGGCCCCACTCCTATTGATTGCCGCTTATTAACGATCACACCATTTATGCGGTGAGAAACAAGTATGCAAGTCAAGTCAGGTCAAAGGAAGCTGCAGGAGCTACCGGAATGAAATTGTGATGAAGCAATGTGACAGAGAAGGCTAGAAACGGCTTTTTCATCTAAGGAACCCACTTTCTTAGAGTTTACAGCCTTCATTTTCCATACGTCGATCTCACAGATTTCGGATGGAAATCGGACATTCAAAAAACAGTACTTACTCATAATCGTAGCCATCTACTCGAAAACACTTTTGTTATGAGTTGCTGCATAAGTCTATTGGTTTATGCAGCATTCGGTGTAGCTGTAACGGTGTCTAGTGCTTTTCTTTTCCACACACCGATTTCAATTTGGAGGTGGGCGGTAATCGGACAGTTGATCGTCCGATGGTGCTATCAGGGTAGGTCTTGTGAGTGAAAAAAATGAGGAAACTGCCATCGTTGACAAAACACGAGCCAGAAGCAGAGAAGAGACGGGGTGGCTACATGAGCAGACAGGACAAACGACAATGAGGGAACATAACGCTGGTACGGAATACATTGGAATATTGAGAGCAGGAGGGAGATCTCTTGTCAGCTCCATAGGTTCCGTAATCTCACTAGGTGGGTGCTTGCTGTCGGGAAGCGTGACTCCTTTGGAGATTATCACATTTGAAGTAAGAAGAGCAGCAGGATCCCGCCATGTGCGTTAGATGGGGGTCTAGCAATAGCTTGAAACTTTCCTCTATCTGCGAGTCAATGATGTGTTTCGGCAGACTTTTCCAATCAGTTACCACCCTGGAAGATAGGGAAGCTTACGGACGGGAGCGAAATGTCCTCGGCTTAAATAATTTCCATTCGTGGCCACGTGTCGAGCTGCCCAAACTTAGATGGAAGGGCTGCCGCAGCTCACTTTCAAGCTCTCCCCTCAAGATGCGTTTGGTGTAGAGATCTCAGCGACGGCGGCCGTGTTCCATGAAGAACAAGTTTAAAGTCTTAAGTCGAAGAGTGTAGGGAAGATCCCGTAGTCCCGATATCGATTTTGAACCGCGCCTCTGCACCTTCTATATCAGATCATGTTCAGATTTCCTTAGGAGGTAAGCGGGCGGGGGACCATATTCTAGGGTCGGAAGGACACGTGAAGCGAAAAGCGTTCTAATGATCTCCGGCGTAATTTTATAGAACGATCTTCGCAAAGCCCAGAGTATTCGGTTGGCTGCTGCGACGTTCCTCTGCGTGTCAAGTGAGGTCATGAGATCGTGCGAGACGATGACTCCCAGGTCCTTCTCATGTGTGACAGACTTGAGGAGATATCCTCCGATATGATACGCACCGAAAGGATCCGGGCCACCAATCGGGAGAACGGCACATTTGTCACGGTTTATCGGGAGTCGCCACTCAACGGACCAGTTATGCAGCTGGTCAAGCGAAGCTTGCAGTCTGTCGGCATCAGGGCAAGATACTTCAGACCGCAGCTTGAGGTCATCAGCGTAGACTAAACAGTCGGTTTGTAGTGCCGCTGGAAGATCGTTGACGTACAATTTAAAGTGCTCTGGTCCAAGGACAGAGTCTTGGGGAACCCCACTGGTCATAAGCACAGGGACAGTGTTTGGTTCATCTTCACTTGAATGGTTCGTTCTTCCAGGAAGTCTGAAATCCAAGACAAGGGATTTCTGTTGACACCAACCCCCTGAAGTTTGAGCAGAAGCCGTTTATGTGGCACTTCGTCAAATGCCTTGTTGGAGTCAATGAAGATGACGTCAAGGAGTTTCCCTCGTCAGTTGCTTTAACCCTGCTTCTCTGGCAGCAAGCAGGTTGGTGATGCAGGATCGTGTCCTGCAGAATTCGTTCTGTGAGGAGATCGCGCATAAGCTTTCCTAGTGAGCGTTGAGAGCTTGATTATTCTCTCCATGATTTTGCAGACAACAGACGTCAGACATATCGGTAGTTCGCAGGGTCCTGCCGGTCACCTAGGTATGTAGGCATTACTATTCCTACTTTCCAAACGCTAAGTAAGCGGCCCTCTGCAAGTGAGAGCCGGAATACTTGGGACATTGGGTCGGCGATGCACTCGGCCAACATCTTGTGGAATAGTGGGTGCAGGCCGTCAGGGCCTGGTGCGAAATTAGGTTTTAACTTACGGCTTAGTAACATGACCATCTCGACGGTAATCTCAACTTGCTCCAAAGCTGGAGAGCACGTGGGCACATCGTTCTTGGGTAACGGTGGCTTTACCGCGTAGAAAGCTGAGTACCGCGAGGCCAGTAGATTGGCTTTCTCATAATCGTGATGTAGTACAGTGCTTTGTCCAGGGGCAGATAGAGAAGGGATACCAAAGTCCGCTTTGGTGTTTCGCCTTATGTATGAGAATTGCATCTTCGGGTACGTTTGGGATTGAACAGCCAGGTATTGAGCTCGTTTCTGCCGCTTTTTCAGGGTGCACAAGTTTCAAACCTCTTTGTACTTTAGGTAATCCGAGGCCGGTTGTGTTCTCTTGAATACGGTACAGAGTTTACGCCGTCTGTTCAGTAAGGACCTCAGTTCTCGGTCAATCCAGAGAGATCCTTTGTGGAATGATCTGCCTTTGTACATCGGGACGGCATTTTCGATGATGGACGTCATCTAGGTCAGCAGTAGGTTCCATGCTTCCTTGACACGCAGGGACTGTGAGATACTCCAATCTTCCGAGCTTACCACAGCGTGTAATCTGGATGGATCTGTACGCCAAAAGTTATGGCGATATGCTCCGCGGTCAGTGATAGTAAGACGTCATGTTCACAAGAAAGAGACTATTGAATGATCACTTCGGCCGAATGGTCATCAGTAAAAACCAGATCAAGGATGTTTGATGTCTGGCCCGGGAGCATCGGCGTTGTAGTAGAGATGTGCTGGATTACATCGCATTCCTGAATAGCGTCGAGATGTCACCTTTCGAAGGAATCTTGTGTAACATCACAATGAAAACGGTTCCAATTTATACTGGGTGCATTAAAGTCACACATAAGTAGATAGTTTCTGCCGCTAGCATTGGTTTTGATTAAGTCCAGGAGACGAGAGTCTGAACCTGAGGGGGCTCTGTAGGCAACTCCAATCGTGAGGTAAATGGCCATTATAAATCCAGCACCAAAGCATTTCTGAGGCAGCGTTACTGTAGAACTTTGAGGCAGTCTTTCGAAAAGAGAATCACTCCCTCTCCGGTCCTCTCAGCAGTACGATCAGCTCGTGAGAGTTGATATCCCGGCATGCTACTTTCTGTCCAAGACCTAAGAGAACAGCCAAGTCTCTGTAAACGCCAATGGATATGGATGGTGTTCAAAGAGGTGGAATCTCGTCAAGTTTGTTCTTGAGGCTTCGCACATTGGCAAGTAATACTCGCAGACGTTTGTTTGCGCCAGCGGGCTGTGTAACAGAAAAACTGGCCGCCAGCGCGCTCTTGTTATTCTCTTCACAACGCGAAAATTCCCAATATGAAGATCAATTTCACCACTGGCTCTACCCGTGCGTAGTTTATTGACAGCTCGTTTCATTTTAACTGGATATTCCGGACAGAGGTCTCTCAGGACCTAATGTTTCATCCTTAAGATGCGAAGTGCGCCTGAGGATGCGGCGGCAATTTTCTTCGTCTTGACAGACGACTTTAAGGGGGCGGAACTTCGTAGAATGTTCCTGCTTTCTGCTCAGGCGGAAGGCTGAGACGATGTTGATGCCCTGCTCCCCTTCGCCGAATAGTATGGATACCATTCGCTTGAGGAATGCCTGGTCGTCAAGGATCCTTTCAGCTGGGATCACTTCGTCAGATTCCGTAATATTTGTAATATTCAAACATCATTCCATGGGAGGTCTGTTTTCTCTCCCTTTTGGTGCAACCGGTTTTTCGGTTGTCAATTTCTCAAGTTGTGTGACTGACTAAAACGCTTCAGTTGCGTTGACGTTGAGTTTTACTTTGTCCCCGGTCCTGCCTTCTTGCTTTCCGCTTTGGGGCATGGTTCCCACTAGCTGCATTTTCAGATAAAGTGCGCACCGCTGCCGCGTAGGTTTTCATCTTGCTCACATTTCCAACTGCAGCTTCCTAGACATTGTGCTCTGCATTATATAAAAGCACGCCCGCTGATAAAGCGAATGAGGATCGACTGCGATTGTGCACGGGGATGGCGGAAGGAGACATAAAAAATGAAGCAGTTAGCGGTGCAGTGTTCGTCTCGGCCCTTTGCGTTAAGGTCAGACAGGCCAGAAGGGACTTGTCACTTACAACAGTGCGGCACTGATTACAGTGAAAGGTATTACCGGAGGAAGCCGTTTTTAAGCATTCATACAGGTCGAGTTCGACACAGCAACAGGTTGTGTCCAACCCTTCACACAGGCCACATTGCACGGCCTTAGCTCAGGGGGTGACAGTTTTGCCGCAGCTCAGGCGCTTAGAAGCCACTGTTTCGTAGTGGATCGACAAATCCTAGATCGTTTGAGGCAATAATACAAAACACAGTAGCCAACGAAAAGCGCAAAGGGTCGCTGTCTGCAGTATCAGTATCTTTATGAATTGCTGCGATTGCGCCGATTGTTTCGGTTAGACAATGAAAAATATTCGGTAAAAATCGAAATGTCTAAGATAACTATGGACAAATATTCAGTGACCTGAACAAAGCATGATGATGTTAGCAAGAGGGAGAAGATTCGATAAACAAGGTGGGAGCGAAATAACGGCTACGATTTTACACTCACCAAACAGTTGGAGGTGAATCGGGATACTTGGGACCACACTCGATTCTTAAATGATATATTTGGCTCTCGTAAGGAGTCCGACTGGGTCCAACAATAGTACCATTCCACCTGACCAGGGTGGAATCCTCGTGGTCCTCCAAGCCCCAACTAACAGTAGGTTCACGAGAACCCTTCTGACCATCTTCAAGTTCCTCCAAGAGATAAAAATTCCGGGGAACTCTCACTACAAAATAAACGGATTTCGGATATCCAGGAAAACAATAATCACGAATAACAAGCCTGCAAACAGACGTACCCTCCTCACGTTTCACACTGTGATTCTGCGCCGCCATTTCAGTGAGACATCTCAAGGTACCAAATCAAGGCAGTCCGTGTGAAGGTCAAACTCATACGCTGTACTGAA